TGAAGCCCTATATATGCTGTTATATTTTTGGATATTATCTATTTCTGTGGAACCTTCCAGATTCTGATTCTTTCAATTAGGCTGCAGCATTTAAACAAGATTTTATTCATTTTGCAATTGCAACATGTTTTTATATTTTGAGTTTTTCCAGCTGTACAATGAATCAATGTACAATCAGCAGTGCTCCCAATACCATAGCTGTTGTCCATGACCATTGGCTATAGGCTTAACGATTGATGAGTTTATAAATAGTTTGTTCAGAACTGAGTAAAATGTAAACCTGCCACTAGAAGTCTGTATTTTTGTCCCCGAAAACAGAATTATCATTTCCTTCTTGCTTCTGTGTTTTGTGATGTGGAAATTTCAGAATTATTAAGGTTTTAAAACAAATTTTCATCAGAATTACAGCTAACATCAGACATCAAGTCAACATTCTGTTATAGATTCACAGAAATGTACAGCATGGAAACAGACCTTTTGGTCCAACTCATCCATGCTGAACAGCTATCCTAAACTAACCTAGTCCCCTTTGTCAGCATTTGGCCCATATCCCTCTTAAACCCTTTCTATTCATGTACTGTCCTGCCCAATTCGGGTTTGGACTTACCAAAAGGCCTCTGTGGAATCAGTGCACATTGCAGCTCTGATACTAACAATAGAAGTCTTGTTTTAACAACAGTCTGGAACAGTTGGGCACATTGTCTAACAGTAAAAGTTTCCTTTACATTGATATTGCCCAGGGGCCAGGTTCTTCTGCTGTTGGTCTCCGAGCAATCTTCAGAGGAACTACATTCAGTTCACCTCATGAAAATATGAGCCCATAACTGGAGCTACTTTGTACAAAGTTTATACTGAAACTTCAAAACACTTCTGTCGGGCCACAGCGAGAGTTTTACATTCAGCTCTGCCTAGGAAGGATCCTTTGGGCTCCTGTGGTACAGTGGTAATGTCCCTGCTTCTGGGCTAGAGATCACAACATGTCTGAATAGGATCCTTCAGAATACTACAGGATTCAGATTTGGAGGGCACTGTTATGGTATAGTGGTAGAGTCCCTTGCTTTGGGCCAGAAAATCGATGTGTCTTCACAAGTCCGAACGGGTTGCTTAGAAATAACTATGAGGATCCTTCAGCAGACACAGAGGAGATTTACCAGAATGGTTCCAGGGATGGGGGATTTTAGCCTCAAGGTTGGGGTGGAGAAGCCAAGTTTACTGTCCTTGAGGTAAAGGGGATTGAGGGTAGATTTGAAACATAAACAGAAATTGCTAGAGAAACTCAAAAGGTCTGGCAGCATCTCTGGACAGAAAGCAGAGTTAACATTTTGGGTCTAGTATCCCTTCTTTAGTTTTGAGTTCTGAGGAAGGATCACTCGACCCGAAATGTTAACTCTGATTTCTCTCCACAGATGCTGTCAGACCTGCTGAGCTTTTCCAGCAATTTCTGTTTTTCTTTCTGTTTAAAGCATCTGCAGTTCTTTTTTTTTAACCCTCCTTTAGTTCTTTGTTTTATTTGAGAGAATATTAGAAAAGGATATTAGGTAAGATTGGATAAGAATATTTGATAGACCCCAGGTAAACACTTTTCTCATCAGAGTTTTATTTGTGTTATCATATCACAAACTCTAACAACACCAATTACTTGTTCAGAAAAAATCAAAGAACTGTGGATGCTGGAAATTGGAAATAAAAACAGAAATTGCTGGATAGCTCAGCATGTCTGGCATTATTTGTGGAGAGAAAGCAGTTGACATTTCGGGTCCAGCTCTGAAGAAGGGTCACTGGAGCTGAAACATTATCTGTGCCCAAGGTCCTCCTTCTATGCCGTTATAATTCAATAACCCAGGACCCAATCAATCCACTGTCAAGTCAAGCTCATCTGTTTCGGAAATTTAAATATGGTCCCACCTGTCTCAGCTGTAGAGGTGGGATCTGTTGTTGTGACATTTAGGTTCAGCTTCAGCTTCACCCTGCTTAAGGGTGTGTCAGTTTCATCTGTGCGACTAGATAGATCTCACCCTGTGGCAAATGTGGCTGTGGATAGCTAGGCAAATCTTGCAGTGGGAAAGCCAATGGGAGTTTGATGCCCTGCTGTTACCTGATGGTCCAAAAATTCTCATGGTTTATTTAAAGAATACCTGGTAAACATTCACTCACTGTAAGGTAGCAATGTAACTTGGGATCTCAGAGTGGACACCTACAGTGAAGCGTTCTGATCTCCTCAGTCAACTTGACTCCTTTTCCCAGATAGCCTTCCACCCTCGGGCAGCCTCCTTGACCAGTGCCTATTGTCTCCCTCCCACAGTCATCCTTTAGGCCCCAGTGAAATAAAGACTGTCGCCATCGGATGTCAATCATAGCCTGGTGGAGAGGAACCCTTCACAAGGAGGACAAATCACAGGTTATTCACTCCAAGGTCTATAAAGTACAATTTTTCACCTGTCTCACAGCTCCGTTACTCAGTCTGAAATGAGAAGGCACATGTTGCTTGTGAACAACTTAATTTGGAAGCAGAACTTAATTCATTTGAGTTAGCCTTTTGTAAAGCACGTGCAAGATGTAGATGTGTGAAGAAGGTCTTCCTGGTGCTTGCCATTGAGAATCTTGACCTGCTTTTAAAATTCTGAGAAACTAATTGCAAACTTTCATCCCACTGTCAAGAGCCTTAGTTTTGTCCCTCGCACAATTTAGTTCCTTGACCTGCTTTACTTTCTGTTCCCAAGAACAGCACAAGTTTGGATGTAAGGTCTCTTTATGCAGTAGAGCCCCAAATGCGTGAGGAGAATAGTGCATGGAGAGCAATATCCCAGTAGGAGTAAACAAAAGAGCAGGAAGTGTAAAAGAATCTAAAGTTGACAACACTGGATGCTATTAAACTCACACAACACATAAAGCTTATTTTTACAGCAAAGCGTGCTGTAATTCTGTAACTCACCGTCAGGTGGAAGACATTTCATAGAGACCGCTGGCACTGTTGTGAAGGATCCAAGCGACAGAGAACTGCATTTTTATTAACTGACATGTGAACTCTTTTAAATTTAATTTTCATTCATTTTCATTGGACTGTAGTTTCTCTTGACAAGAATCCTTTTTGAAATTAGACATGAACTGAATATTCATCCCATTGTTGCATGTGGGATTTTGCTGTGTACAAACAGAACAAGCTGCTAAAGAAAACAGTTGCAACCCCATGGCTTGAAATCTTCAAGATCCATCTTCAGATCATTTCCATGTATAAGTTTTCATTATCAGGACCACCATCTCAGCATGCCATGCGTTGTGTAGCTAGAACTATCCATGTAAATGTTGGGGGTGATACAGGTATTAGTCTGTAATGCTGACATGACTAAAGCAAAGGCAGAATGGCCACATAACAACACTCAAAAGGTAATTCATTGTTAGGAAGTACTTTGAAACAGTTCAGAGAGATGTAGGAACCATAATTACATAAATGAAAGCGCTTTGATATAGTACTTTATGTTCTTCGGTGACGTCCCCCTTGATAACTTTGTGTCTGCATTGTTTCTGTGTAATAAAATGTAAACTGCTTTAATTTTTTATCCACATGGACCATTCCCATTGCATTGAAGGGCATTTTCTGTGCGGTCGGAGTGTTCCAAAAATCTTTTCAGGCAATAAAATACTTTACAAGTCTCTTTATTGTTGCCAGCTGGAGAAATGTAGCAGTCAGTTTGCAAACAGAAAGATCCCACATCCAACAATGATATAATGTACAGGTAATCTACTTTTGTGATGTTAGTGAAGGATAAATATTTGTCAGGAGATCTTTATGAGTGGCTGTGAGATTTTGCATCTTCCTGAGAGGGGATCCAGGAGCCTCAGCTTAATGTCTCATAGAATCATAGAATCATACAGCATGGAAACAGACCCTTCGATCCAACTGGACCATGCCGACCATAATTCCAAACGAAACTAGTCCCACCTTCTTGCTCCTGGCCTATATTCCTCCAGACCTTTCCTATTCAAATACTTATCTAAGTGTCTTTTAAACATTGTAATTGTGCCCGCATCCACCACTTCCTCAAGAAGTCTGATCCAAAAACTGGTGGCTGATCATTTCTTTTGCTAGTTACCTGGCCCAAAACCTGCTGATGGTGTAAATGAAGTGCATGTGGTGAAGTTGTGGTGACGGGCCTGAGGGAACATTGACCATCAACCTGAAATGACAGTGATGAGGAGAAGTACCAGCTGGGCACCTGTGCTCCATAAATCCTTAATACAAGATTTTTCTAAATTGTTATGAAAAGAAACAATTTTCAGTGTACGCTTCAGATTGGAAATTATCTCCCTCCTTAGGGTGGCACGGTGGCTCAGTGGTTAGCACTGCTGCCTCACAGCACCAGGGACCTGGGTTCAAATCCACCCTCAGGCGACTGTCTGTGTGGAGTTTGCATGTTCTCCCTGTGTCTGTGTGAGTTTCCTCTGGGTGCTTTGGTTTCCTCCCACAGTCCAAAGATGTGCAGGTTAGGTGGGTTGGCCATGCTAAATTGCCCATAGTGTTCAGGGATGTGTGGGTTATAGAGGGATGTGTCTGGGTGGGATACTCCAAGGGTTAGTGTGGACTTATTGGGCCGAAGAGTCTGTTTCCACATTGTAGGGATTCTATGATTTAATATAACCCCTCATTATGTCATGGCCTGATGCTCAGGTGAAAAATAGTTCCATCTCCTTCCCTTTTGGATTTTTGCCCATTCAGTTTGTTCTTGGCACCTTTGTCTTGGTATCTGAAAGCTTTCATTTGCCATTTGGTCATTTTCTCATTCCCTGCCCATGATATTCATTTTCATTTAAACTACCTGGTCATTACTATCTGATGTGAAATACAGTCCCCTGGTAGGCACACCTGGCCCTTAAAACCTTCTAATATGATCTGTTCCATTGATTCTTTTTAGAGTAATGTGACTGAATCAAATATCCCTTAACAATAACAGCCTGCTGCCATTAACTTGCCTGTTTTAATCCTTCTGATCATTCCTTTTCAGATCTGAGGGGAGAGAACTTTGAACTCTCGTTGTCTAGCCCATCTGTGGATCAGACAGTGAGGGAAGCAGAAAATGTCACACAAGAGGAATCTACGTCTGATGGTCAGCTAAATGAGGAAGGACAACAGGCAAAAGCAGGTAAATTCCTGACATGAACAACAAAGGAACAGAAAATAAAAGGAGAGAGGAAATAATCAGCAGAGATGGTACAATATGAGTATTAACTCCTTCACCTTCAGGTCATTATCAATAATTTTCTTTCTGTAACACTCCTCTTCTTGCTCCTCTTGTTCTCTGTCTGTTTTCATTTTTTTTAAATTGAGGATGTGATGTTTAATCATTTGTAGGAACTTTCCAAAGGAGGACTAAATTAAATAACACCCTTCATGACTTCAAGAAACCCCAAAACACTTTAAGGTCGACAAAGTGCTTTTTAGTATTAGAGTTTTTTTAATTTCAAAAATATACTTTTATTCATAAAATGTCTTTATATACATACATAGTGTTTAAAGCAGTTCGGTTCCATACAGTAGCATATAAGAACATAAGAACATAAGAACTAGGAGCAGGACTAGGCCATCCGGCCCTTCGAGCCTGCTCCGCCATTCAATAAGATCATGGCTGATCTTTTCGTGGACTCAGATCCACTTACCCGCGTTCTGACCGTATCCCTTAATTCCTTTATTGTTCAAAAAAATATCTACCTTATCTTTAAAAACATTTACTGAAGTAGCATCAACTACTTCACTGAGCAAGGAATTCCATAGATTAACATATGAAGAAACAAATTTCGGAATTTGGCATTAGAGTCACCTTTTTAATTTACTAACCGTGTCAGCTAATTCACACATAGAAGGCTGTCACAGATAGCAAGGTATCGATGACCAGATCTTCCTTTTTAATGACGCTGTTTTCAGAATCTTGCCCAAGTCCCATTCTTCATGTGGACGCCGAGACAATGATTTGCTGGTGACCAGGCCACTGCTTCTCTCAAGGTGCTTCCTGAATCTGCACACCTGACTGTTGGAGAGCTGATGTTGCTCCTCTAATGCAGCTTCTTTGCTGCTGATTTTATTGGGAACTTCTGCACAAAAGTTGAGACAGGCACTTGACCAAAGTTTAAATCCATCTGGGTGGCCATGGCCATTTGCAGTGAGAATGCGTTCAGGGATGGGCCAGGTAACAAGCCCGTCTCCTTCAAACCTAGCATTGTCACTCCTGATCTCACTCAGAGGGATGAAGTATGGTGGAACGGGAGTGCATGTGCTGGGGCTTAAGGTTCTTAGTAAATATAATGAGCTTTCATGTTGTTAGTTACACTGTGAGGACATGGGGACACCAGACGTGAAGGAGGTAGGAACGTAAGATGCATGGGAATTGAGTCATACCTCACCTCCAGGATTCTTAGAGGATGTGTTTGGATCCTGTGACTGAATTAATCTTTAATGATTAAAATGTTTCTGGCTCTCTATTGTAGTTCATTGATTAGCTGAGGTTATACTAACTTTCTGAGCCACATTTCTCCTCAGCGTGTGCTGAAATGCCATCTCTTGGATGTCATACAATCAATCTCTCCATGGCCTTATCTCCTCAGCAGTAGCTTTTGAAAATTTTGGGGATTCTCCACATAACTGGAGGCTTTGATACTGGTCCTCATCCACTCATTTCAGGCTACTGCTGCCTCCTTTGGTATTAACTGTTTCCATCCCTTTAAGCAGCAACAGCCTGTTCAATGTGAGAGCGACACCACATTTCCCTTCAATCCACTGGTAATGAACTAATGGTAGGAATGTGTTTATCAAATAACACTCTCTCCACTGTAATAGACTGAGCTTCAGGTGATGTCATGTGTGCAGACAAAAGTCCTGGTGGATTGCCTTTCTAGTGCAGAGGACAATCCAGCTCCAAGTGTGTGATGTTGCTGAACGGCAAGCTGAAAATACAGTGTTCTCCACTGATATATCATTCCCAGTGTTGGAACAGTCATTTGAAGTGCTAAACACTGCCAAGATTAAAGGATGAGATAAGCTGTAATCGGGCAGTTAGACAAAGCAAACTTTGCTTCTAAAAGCTTACAAAATTACATAACTGCTGACATACAATTTTGAAATTCTTGAAATGAGTGAGTTAGAGAAGGAGGTGGTGCAGTGAGTTTTGATTGCAACATAGGGAGAGCAGACATTGTTTAGGACAGTATATTTTAGTTAGAGGAAGACCTGTATTTGAAGGAGCAATGAGCATCATGGTAAGAATTAGGAACAGTTGCACGGTGTTTACATTATTGGGATGGTAATCCAGAAGCTGACCAAATGATTCAGAGATAAGAGTTTGAATCACACCACAGTAGGTGGGGAATTTAAATTTGATTAAGTGAATAAAAGTACAAGCAATGATGAACATGTGGCTGCTTGATTGTAGCAAAACAAAATCTGGCTTCCTAATATCCTTCAGGGAAGGAAATCTGTCATCCTCACCAGCGTGTGCAATATGTGATTCCATGTGCATAACAATGTGGTTGACTCTGTTCTTTGTAAGGGCCTAGTGAACCTCTCAACAGTGTCTGACTCACAGGCAACTAAAGATGAGCCTCTGCAGGGGACACTGAGTGAGTAAATAAAAAGAATGAGGCTGGGAAAGAACATAAAATGTTGCAATAGTTAGAGCAGGGGGAGGATGCGATCCAGGAGGTTCGTGCTGTCAGAAGAAATACTGGTTGAGTTGCAAGTAGTTTTCTCATTGACTCCAGCATTTCTTGCCACATGGTCAGCAGTGGTTAGCAGTGGCTCAGTGGTTGCTGCCTCACAGCGCAAGGGACCTAATTACACCCTTAAGTGACTGTTGTGTGGAATTGCACATCCTCCCTGTGCCCATGTGGGTTTTCTCTGGGTGCTCTGGTTTTCTTCCACTGTCCAAGAGACATGCAGGTTAAGTGGACTGGCCATGCTAAATTGCCCATAGTGTCCAGGCATGTGTAGGTTATATGCATTAGCTATGGGAATTGTAGAGTTACAGGGATAGGGTAGGGGTTGGTTCCAGGTGGGATGCTGTTCAAATGGTCGTGTGGACCCGATGGGCTGAATGGCCTGCTTTAACACTGTAGGGATTCTATGATTTCAGGAGAAGTGTTAATGGAGCCTCAATGATTATGCACACACTGTTGCATTACAGAATTTTGAATAGGAACAATTTGTGAAGCCAGCCAATGTGACCTGAGTTCTGTTTTTGTTGGAACAGATGACCAATTGACTGAAGCATTGGAGTCATCTTCAGATGAAGAATATGGGGAAGAGTTTGATTTTGATGATAGTTTGCTTGAGGAAGAAGACACCACTTTCAGAAATGAGCCAGAATGTAAACTCTCACAAGAAAACACAGGTGATAATGAGACTGTTGACACAGTATCCAAATCAGTGGAGTTTACCCAACCTGTGCAGGATTCAGTGCCACCAAACTCGATCACATCTTCCATAGTTCTTGCAATAGACACTCAGAGCTTGACATCTCCCCTGAATAATTTCACGTCTTCCACAGATTCGATTGCACATTCTACCAGCACAGGTAAGGAGGAGAGGAACTCTCCAAGTTAATTGTACTTGTACAAGTCAACTTACCAAAGTGGATTTGCCAATCAGTAACAGCGTTAGAAAGATAAGTATGCCAAATGTTCTGTAAAGTTTTGGAGTGCTTGTTCTATTGTGACCAATAATATACTTGTCTGGTTTGAACAATGTGAAAGATTATCAGTTTATAAACATTTGGATATTTGGAAATTTTAGTTAGTTGGGAACATTGTGGATTACATACAGAGATAGTAGGAACTGCCGATGCTGGAAAATCGGAGATAACCAGGTGTAGAGCTGGATGAACACAGCGGGCCAAGCAGCATCAGGGGGAGATATTTTTAGTTGTCCTGTCCAGTATTGTTATTATGCCCCTCTGGGGCACGAGGAGCTTGAACCCAGGTTCCTGGCCCAGAGGTAGGGACATTACATCAAGAGCCCCATGAATTACGTATAGCTTGTGAAGGCCTGGGCAGAATGAGATGACAAAGGGTTTTTCACATTCTCAATGCGTTCCCATCCATTTCCCTCCCAGTTCCATTCAATGTCAGGGACTAGCTGGAGTACTTTTCCACAGGCATGCAACCCTCTGTTATCACACCCCAGCTGACCAGTCATCGAGTTTGGATGATGGAGTGTATGATGACTGATCATTTCTCTGTATGCACCCAAAGCCCACACACAAGAACAAGAAGGTAGGAGTAGGCCATTCAGCTCCTCGAGCCAATTCCCCCATTCATTGAGAGGGATGTCTAATCTGTAAACTCCAGCTGCCCTTGGCTAGCAAAAAAAAATTGTGATCGCGGATTGAAAATTAATAATTGAGCTAACATCTCCAGCTTTTTGAGATAGTTGTACCACTATTTGCATGAAAGAGTATTTCGTGTTTCCGAACCTCTCCTGAAGGGCCTGGCTCTGGATTTAAGGTAAAAACTGAAAGAACTGCAGATGCTGTAAATCAGAAACAAACACAGAAGTTGCTGGAAAAGTTCAGCAGTTTTGGCAGCATCTGTGAAGAGAAATCAGAAGGGCCACCGGATCCAAAACGTTAACTCGGATTTCTCTTCACAGATGCTGCCAGACCTGCTGAACTTTTCCAGCAACTTCTGTGCTTGTTGCTGGTTTTATGGTGTTGTGTCCTTGTGTACAGTATGCAGCTATCAGCAAGGATTACTGAACAACAGTCAGGAGTAGGACCCCTGGGATATATTCCCATCTGTAACTTAACAGAAATAGTAGGAACTGCAGATGCTGGAGAATCTGAGACAACAAGGTGCAGAGCTGGATGAACACAGCAGGCCAAGCAGCATCATAGGAGCAGAAAGGCTGACGTTTCGGACCTGGACCCTTCATCAGAAATGGGGGAGGGGAAGGGGGTTCTGAAATAAATAGGGAGAGGGGGGAGGCGGATGGAAGATGGATAGAGGAGAAGATAGGTGGAGAGGAAACAGACAAGTTGAAGAGGTGGGGATGGAGCCAGTAAAGGTGAGTGTAGGTGGGGAGTTAGGGAGGGGATAGGTCAGTCCAGGGGATTCTCCAGCATCTGCAGTTCCTACTATCTCTGATCCAATTTTAACCCCACTGCGAAGCCTCTTCTAAGGAAACCCTGGACTGACCTATCCCTTCCCTAACTCCCCACCTACACTCACCTTTACTGGCTCCATCCCCGCCTCTTCAACCTGTCTGTTTCCTCTCCACCTATCTTCTCCTCTATCCATCTTCTATCCGCCTCCCCCTCTCTCCCTATTTATTTCAGAACCCCCTTCCCCTCCCCCATTTCTGAAGAAGGGTCTAGGCCCGAAACGCCAGCCTTTCTGCTCCTATGATGCTGCTTGGCCTGCTGTGTTCATTCAGCTCTGCACCTTGTTGTAACTTAACAGACACTAGATGCATTGACTATAGCTACAATTGATCAGCTAAATCCACATAGTCTGCAGATCAAACCTCAAACCTTATCATATGTCAGGCTTAGTACCTGACAACACAGTGTTTTTACCCAGTGGACCTTTGGTTGACTATGTGTCTCATTTTCAGAAACACAAATCGGGTCAGATAAATGAGTTGTAAAAGGTTATGAATGATGTAATGCTTTTAGCAAATGGATTGACATTTTCCAAGCCTATGATCATTACAATGGTCATAGTGAGGAATCGTCCCTCCCATTGGTTGAGCTAGAATCAAAGTCTAGTCTCAAAGTTGAAAGGTCAGTAATGGAGTCAAACTCTGATCACTCAACGCTGAGGCTTTTAAACGTCCTGTGCTGTGCACAGATTTTCCTCCAGAATGTCTGGAGAAAATTTTTCTTCAGTACTGTGTCCAGTTCTGGTCAGTCCATTACAAGAAGGACATTATTAAGCTGGAGAGGGTTCAGAAGAGATTTACCAGGATGTTGCCAGGAATGGAGGATTAGAGTTATAAGGAGACGCTGGATAGGCTGAGACTTTTTTCACTGGAGTGTAGGAGGTTGAGGGGTGACCTTATAGAGGTTTACAAAATCATGAGGGGTTTGGATAAGGTGAATGGCAAGTGCCTTTTCCCTAGGGTGGGGGATTTCAAGATGAGGGGGCATATTTTAAGGTGAGAGGAGAAAGATTTAAAAAGGGCATGAGGGAATACCTTTTTACACAGATAGTGGTTTGTGTGTGAAATGAACTTCCTAAGGAAGTGGTGGATGCAGGTACAGTTACAATGTTTAAAAGGCATTTGGATAAGTACATGAAGAAGAAATGTTTGGAGGGATATGGGCCAGACGCAAACAGGTGGGATTGTTTTGTTTGGGATTGTGGTTGGCATGGACTGGCTAGACCAAAGGGTCTGTTTCTGTGCTGTATGACTCAATGTCAGAGCAAAGCCCACACGAAATATTGCTAAAGTAATTTGGAAGTATGAAATAAGGTATAGCATCATGTAAAGTAATTGATTTATTTATAATAATAACATTCCAGGTGATTTTGCCTCTAGAATTCGAGCATCTTGGGAATCTGACAGATGCAGTATGTGAGTCTCATTCAGGGGAATTAATGGCTGGAAAGGTTCAGGCAGTGTCTGTAGATTTTACTGGAGGTACACTTGCTGGGACTGCTGCTCCCTACTGGCAGTGCAGGATCATGGAATTACTCAATTTGTTTTAAGGCAATTATACATATATTTGACAACATTGTTTAAAAAAAATAGTTTTTCATTTCATAGAAACACATTATAACAAACTGTTCCAGGGCCTCACAATGACCTAATTGGGAAATGTATAGCTCATAGATTCATAGAATCCCTACAGTGCAGATAGAGGCTGCAGATGGGTGCAGGTAGACCCATCAAGTCTGTACCGATCCTCTGAAGAGCATCCCACTGAAACCCGCTCTATCCCTGTAACCCTGCATTTAGCATGGATATCATGATTTATCAATGGGTGGCACAGTGGTCCAGTGGTTAGCACTGCTGCCTCACAGCGCCAGAGACCCGGGTTTGTTTCCACCCTCGGGTGACTGTCTGTGTGGAATTTGCACATTCTCCCCATGTCTGCGTGGGTTTCCTCCGGATACTCCGGTTTCCTCCCATAGTCCAAAGATGTGCAGGATTGGGTCAGGGTGGGATGCTTTTCAGAGGGTCAGTGTGGACTCGATGGGCCAAATGGTCTGCTTCCACACTGTAGGCATCCTATGATTCTTTAATAATCTATCAGCCTGCACATGAATGGACACTACAGGGCAATTTAGCATGGCCAATCCACCTAAGCTGCACATTTTTGGACTGTGGGAGGAAACTGGATCACCCGGAGGAATCCCATGCAGGAGAATGTACAAACTCCACACAAACAGTTGCCCATAGCTCCTTGTTCACTGAGCTATGCACGTCAGAAAGGTCCCATTTCATTCTGAAGTCTGTCCTGAATTAGCTACTCTTAGTCTCAGTATTGCTGGGGAGATTGTGGGCTGGGGAGAGCAGCAAAAGTAATTTGTCCCCAGTCTCTCACCAGTATGGATAGTGTCAGGCTACTTGAAGTTTATGTATGAAGTAAATCTGAATGAGAAGCCTGAAGGGTAGCTAACACTTATGGAAGGGGACACAATGTAAATCAACACATTCAGGAGATTGTATTTGGAAGGACTGACTTGGGAAAGAAAACTAATAACCTGCAAAACAATAATTGCAAGAATCCTGAATTTCTCTCATTTCTATTTCAGAATCTGCTGTCATTGCCTGTGCTTCAAGGTGAGCCTTTCTTTACTATATTTATTAGTTTCATAATCAATGTAATTATCTTACATTTTAAGGTAGGTATTTGCTCTGCTAAATCAGATAAAAGTTAATTTTTGAAAAATGTTTGTTCTCTGGTGGGAACAGTATTTAACTCGCATAACAATATCTCTTCAGGGAATAGTGGGGAAGTGTTGGAAGGATTAGCAGGCTAATTATCAATCTGTTGAACCGTATCTTGAATGCTCCTTCTATGGCCAGTAAGCCATGCAATGGGAATTAAACTCAGAGTTGTTGACTTCATGGTAGGGTCAAACCCAATGGAGCCACAAATTGGCTGGAAAGGTCCTTTCTTTGCTGCAGCAGTGCTTCCACAATGATACTCTAGGATAATAATAGCGCAAGGATCAGAGGGCTGTAACACTCATGGGAGATCTTGGAAATGATGGTTCTGGATGGTTTTAGCAGTAGAAATTGTAAGGCGTGGAGTTGCTGTCAGTGGTTGAATAGTGGCAGTGCATCCTCCAGACAGTAATAGTGAGGAGGGAAGGATGGCTGAGTGTGGGAGTGAATTGTTCTATTTGGGATGACGTTGAGCTTCTGAGTGATGTTACACTTGCAGCCATCCACAAAAGTAATGAGTGTTTCATCATTATCCTGAGCTGTGCCCTGTGGACAGAGTTTGAAGAATCATCATGTGAATCCCTTATCGCACAGTCTTTGCAATCACAGTATTGATATGGCATAGTAGTGAGGGATTTTGTGATGAATCATGTGTTTATGGATCAGGGGTGGTGGTTGGGCCATTTCTTGTTGGTAGCAGCCATTGCCAGGCACTTGAAAAGTGTAGGTGCCACTTGACAGGCCAAGACTGGATGTTGTCACTTCACTTTGTGGGAAGATGTATCATAGAATCCCTGCAATGTGGAAGCAGGCCATTCAGCCCATTGAGTCCACACCAACCCTCCATACAACATCCCATCCAGACCCACTCCACCCATTTAACCTTGCATTTCCCATGGCCAATCCACCTAACCTGCACATCTTTGGACTTTGGGAGGAAACCAGAGTACCTGGAGGAAACTCACACAGATACAAGGTGAATGTGCAAACTCCACACAGATAGTCTCCCGAGGGTGGAATTGAACCCAGGTCCCAGGTGCTACGAGGCTGCAGTGCTAATCACTGAGCCACTATGCTGCCCCAAGTCTAAGTCTGAATTAAAAACAGAAAATGCTGGAGAAACGCAGCAGGTTTGGCAGCATCAAAGAAAGACAGGGTTAATGTTTCCAATGCAGTGACCATTCGGCAGGACTGTTTAAGTCTGTTTATACACTGGCAAGGTTGCTTTGCTAGAAAAGGAATTGTGAATGAAACTGGAATCTGTGATATTACTAACCAACAGCTACACTCCTGACCTTTCAATGAAAAGTGCTTCCTCTTTACTGTGAATCCATTCCCTCTGTTGGAGATTGTTGGTGTACCAGTGTGTGAAAAGCACATATTTACTTGGATCAGGCCAATTGATGTGAGGTTGAACTCTAATAGAGGATGCAATTCGAGATTATTTTCAAAATCTATTCTAATTTAATCTTACCCTTCCCTTTACGAATTGAGGGAGGCTCACTTTTTGTCAATTTCTGGCAGACTGATGTTGCTAGAAATACACAAAACAATGTTGGAAATCACTCTATTTTACAGCAATTTCAAGTATTGAAGAACCATGTGCACTTTAAATCCTGCACAAGGAAACCCTTTAATGGCACGTCTGGGCTGAGAGCACTCACTGCAATAGTTCTTTAACTAAAGGAAAGAGCTAACAGAAAAATACTATTAATATTTTATTACTGTCAGTTCAAAATTTTAATGTGTGGCTGAACATTAGTGGAGATTAGATAAAGATTTAAGAATTGCAGTAAAAGGACAGTTTTTTTGCACTCAGGATAGAATCACGAGAATATTAAATTTCAAAGGGAACAGCTATTTATTTTACATGAAAAAGGGTGCTGACTTGTTGGCAAGTGGACTCTGGTAGGTCAAAGTGCTGCTACGGTCAATACACAGATGACAATTATTCTTAGACTTTTGTTTAGATTCAAATCAGGCAAGCAGACTCCATTTGAACCCAGGTGTTCCCATAGGGAATGCTCAAAGGAAATATTCTCCCACAAGCTTTTCTTTAACTGAGAAAAGCTGCAATGCTGGACATATTTTTAGTAATTATATAGAGACAAGGACACTGCGTGTGAATATATGTAGCTTGTATCAAGCGTAGGTGAGTCTGACTTATCATCTTGTATTGGTCGTTAGTGTAATTCTTAGCTCATTTGAGATTGTTAGGTAAGTGCAGCCCAACTGCAGAATGACATCCGCTGTTGGACCCTAAGTCCTGGGTTTTGCAGACCTGGTCTGGCAGAGTAGGATCTGTACTCTCTTTGATGCGAACAGTCAAAGGGATGTGCTGTTTGATATAATCCACTAATTATTGGCAGTACAGCCTACATACTTGGCAATATATGGTACTGAAATTCATACACCACATTACCTATTTTTGTGGTTGTTAGAACATCTTTTTAAGATAAGTAAAGATAATAAAGCTTAATTTTGCTGCTTCCAATTCAACCTAATTCTTCATCTTGGAATCTTGAGGTTTCCTTTTCTTTCTGAGACCTCTCTTAATAGACAAGCTTTACCTTCCCAAAACATTGTTCCTGTATTAATATGGTTTTCAGTTAACATTTCTTTTAATGTCAGCAGTTAATTATCTAAGATAAAATGCTGATTTGAAAATATTCCCACTCTTTGCAACTTTTGCAGCCTTGCACCATGTAAGCTTGTGTCTTTACCTAGATTCCTCAATTTAAAAAAAATGTTTAAAAATGAGCAGTGTTGAACACTTTAATGTGGCCATCTTCAAATGAATCCATGTCTCATTGAAAGACATTCTGGCTAGCAAATAATCATTGTTTCTTGATAAATGATTAATCCATTTAAGGAAGGTCAAAAATCTAAACAAGAGAAACCCCTTCCATTAAAGGTTTTGGCTCCTTAAATGTATTTTCCTTCATTTAAGTAAATCAAACATAATGATATGTATAATTTGTTCAACAGTAAAGCCTTGAGATGATTTGACAACTTGATTTAAGTATGCCAACAATTATTGGTCTTCCTTCTGTGACGAATTTATGGGTTTAAAGGCGTGTTTTCTCCTGGTTTCTTTTAGAGAGAGATTGGGGCACAGGTATCGAGCAATCTGAGAATATAAACAATTTGTGAGACCTTGGGTTTTTTTTTTAAATGTTGGAACGATAAAAGCAGCCTGGATGGGTGCACAGAAATTTTCTTGATCGTTTATCATTTCTTTAGGAAGAGCGCTAGTTCAAACAAGACATATTGCATTCTGAAATCTTTAGGGACGCACTTCTCATTCTCCTCATGAAAGCCGCTCCTTGCTAATGTTTGACCAGTGTATGTATGCAAGAGATTCGCTCTGACTGCTGTGTTCGGGATGCCTCAGTGACACTTGAACCCAGTGTTTGAAGTCATTGTTAAATGGACAAACAAACTTGGCATCTCTCCATCATTACTCTTGAAGCACTAATTCTTTGGCATCTCCAAAACCTGTTTGACGGAATGGTATTTTTAAACTTTACAATTCACCTGATAGATCTGGAAATCAGACAGATCTAGATTCTCGAGCATCCTTGTCTCCCAGGTAACAGGTCAGTTAGCATTGTTTCAGACAGGCCATTGAGAATGATTCCAGGTAGTGAAGATCAGGTTAGTGTATATTGCTCTGCTTACCCAATATACAGCTAGGTTTGGATTTAGCTCCAGGGCTGGGTTTGTTGCGGGGGAGGTAAAGCATGACTGGTGGTACTTGGTGTGGGCCCTCTGTTGTTGTGCCAACCACTTCCCGAACAGGGATCAGGAATGAGGCTCAGATTTTATATAACATCTCCTGTTTTAGTGTTGAGAAATGTACGATTTTCTGTGTTCAGATTTGAGTCTCAATCAATTATACAACTTTCTCCTCCTTTCAGTCCCTCAATGAACCACTTGTTGTGCAACACTGATTCACTTGTCCATCATTTCTGAACCCTGTTCTTTACCTTCCCAGCATCAATGCAGGCACAGAAGACACTACCAGGACCCTTTCATATTTTTTATTGGCAGGAAGAATAGAAAAGCAGAAAATTGCTTAAATTGAGAGAGAGCATAGAATGCTGCTGTATTGAGGGGTTTGGGTGTGCCTGTGTATGAATCACAAAAGGTTAGTATGCAGCCCGTGATTAGGAAGGCAAGTGAATTATTAGCCTCTATGACAAGAACCATGATGTAACAATGTAGGGACGTCTTGCTACAACTATTCAAGGTATTGCTGAAACCACACCTAAAGTATTCTGTGCATTCCTGTGCCCTTATTTAAAGAGAGATGAACTTATTTTTCGAAGAGTTCAGTGAGAGTTCACTCAGCTGATTCCTAGCATGAAGAGGTTGTTTTATGAGGAGACGTTGAGCAGGTTTGATCTATACTCTTTGGAGTTAGAAGAATAGAAGATTATTTCATTGCAACGTATGAAATTCTGAGAGGTCCTTGACAAGAGATGGTGAGAGGGTGCTGCCCCTTGTGGGGAATCTTGAACTAGGTGCACTGCTTCAAAATAAAGAGACTCCCATTTAAGACAGAGATGAGGAAAAATTTCTTCTCAGAGGGCTGTTGGACTTTGGAATTCTTGTCCATAGAGAGCAGTGGTGGCTGGGTCATTAAATATAGTAATGTATGAGTTAAATAGACTTGGTTTATCTACAAGACAAAAAGGTTATTTGGGGGTTGCTGTGTGGGATTGGAACAGACACAAAAGTGGAGCTAAGGCTATAGTCAGATTAGCCATGTGATCTCACTAAATGGTAGAACAAGCATCATGAGCTGAATGGCCTACTTCTCCTCCTTTTACTTTCTATTTTATGTTTTCCTGTATCTCCATCCAGATTCTTGAACTCTGCTTCTGGGT